TATCTAAAAAACTTTTTTTGAGGAGCTGGATGAAATAAGCTGTGAACCACTGTATATGATAATAAGTTTTATAAGTTGGTTTTCATTTGATTATTATTATTTGATTCCATTTTTGACTAAGTCTTAAAATGGAAAGAATGTTTTCTAAATTAGTTTGCATTTTCAAAAAGACTCTCTCAATGTAAGAATATCTACGATTTGAAAATACATTTGGTTCGAGTGGACATGGAATGAAACAGTAGAATTATAGGTACGAATAGATTATTGTATAAACAACAAATTATATAAATTCAAAGAAAATTTTGGTTACAGTAAACCTAATTTTAGGTGAATAAAACAGATAGAAATGAACACGGAAAACTTACAAACGCTCATCTCTTTATTATAATTATATGAATATTACAGAAATCATAAACAGCTGCTTTATATCTCATAAAATGAGTCTATAGGTGAATGAATAAATAAAAATCATATGATTTTACATCAGTCAAGAATAATGACATTACGAGTAAATATAAAACATAATAGACTAAATTCCGGACAAATCAACCAACCAAAACAATGAATCCCAATCTATTAACATTAACATTTAACCGTTAACATATTCCCTAATTCAGTATAAAGAGAGCATACGAAATTCACTTACTCAACCGAACACTCCCAACCTAAACGACCTTTGTTACTTACACAATAATCACTTGCCCTGTCAGTCAGATTTAAAGTTCATTGTGAATGAACATTATACTATCATTATACATATATGTATCATTATATGAGCCTCATTGACATCAACATTTTACTTATTACCATTATCATCAGCATCAACATAATCTGTATTCAGATTGACGTCAGTTATCTAAACCTCTCAGCAGATCTTCCTTATCCATAGATCCCACAAAATTTATAATTCTTATAATTATAGCTATATATATAGAATATATAATAAATTATGTAACTTGATTATAAATACTATGACCATAATTACTAATTTGTTATTATAGAATTTAAGAGAAACTAATAAAAGAAGAAGAATATTTCCATATAATATTTTATATATACTTCACTTTCATATTTTCTTTCAACTATTCTGTGCAACAGTGTTTCAAATAAAATCCATATGCTAAAATAGCCTACACAAAATTAGTTAATTTGACTAGCAGTACTACAATCTAAATGAATAATAATTTGATATTCTAGAATTTAAGAGAAATAGAGGTAGAAGCCTGCAGAGATAGTTGCAAAGAAGACCTTCAATTCTATATAAAATACACTTTCATATCGAATTTCCTGCAACGGTGTGTGAAATAAAATGCACAACAGGAAATGGCAACAGGAAACATTGAAAACTAACATCAAACACACATTGGCGCTGATCAGAGCTGACGGAACGTGTTTCGTTGTCGTAAAAGTATATTGTCGGCTCGATTTCGAGCGTGGTTTCCGTGTCGGCGGGTATACGAAATGGATCCTTGTGCCAGACATAGGGTTCCGTGACCATGACATCGATGGCCTTTTCATTAACACGGCCCGGCCAGTGTTTGTCCGGCTGTATGAGCACACGCACAAACAAGGCGCTCATGGGTCCGGCGGAACCGGTGCGCCAGGGCCACAAGGGATCCAGCAGTTGCATGCGTTTGCCCTCAACGGTTTCCAGTGAATTGAAGGCCCAGCAGAGGCCGTTCTTGCTGCGTCGCTTGGAGAAGATCTCACAGCAATCGTGCGGGAATTTACGCCACTTGCAGTCGGTCAATAATTCATCGCATTTCCAGGTCATGAAGTCGACGACGTGACTGAAGTTGATGTGGCTCAGCTGATGCGTTGGCTCGTTGCGTAGCTGCTCAAAGGACTCAAAGTGGCCAAAGGACATGGCATCAAAGCTACTGACGATGCGCTCAAACAGCTTCAGCTGCGCCACATCGCTGACATTGGCCATAAAACGCTGCTTGGCCAGGGGCAAACGCTGCCAATTCAGGCGATTGTGATTGCATATGGTGATGACCGGAAATGCAATGCGATAGACCGGATAACGCGTGCTATCCACAACAGTTTGAAAGTTGCCATCGTTGTAGCGCTGCGACAGTATCAGGCACACATAGACGGCGCCCAGAAATGCCGAAATGAACGTGCACAGCCAGACGAAGCGTTCGGTGCGGCTGGCCTGTGCTGCCAGCAGCTTGTCCAGTCCATGGATCGTGGTGCGTTTGCCAAAGCGCATGGCCAGCTGCCAGGCGGCCTGGCCCAGCTGACGGAGCACTGCATTGCGGGCGGGCGGCAAGGAGCGCTGCTGCACTTGCAATGAACGCGCCGGCGGTAAATATGCCAATGTCATGGCTGGTTAACAACTGAATCAGTTGTAAGCGCATTTCCAGTCTTTTATAGCTCTGCGTGCGGCAATGGTCTTTGGGATAATTAGATACTTGGCAATGTCGTGTCCGCTAACGTGTTAAACGCCTATTAAACGTGCTCTCCACCAGGGTCAAGTCAGACAAAGCGTTTGCCGCCCCAAGGTCCCAAGGGACCTGACATGATTTGCATCAATGTATTATCTATATACGTCAATACTCACATACATATGTACATATATGCATGTCTATAGGTCAAAATGTCCAGCTAATTGGACAAACTTTTTGTCAACCGAATCGATTGCAATCAATGCCAAATGATTTGCAAACAAAGATAAACGAAGCATTTTTTAAGACTGATTTACGTATGCTCTTTTCGGCAAAAAACATATGTCAGCTGAGAAAAAATTTAAAGAAATTATAAAATAAATATTCATGAGTTGTAATAAGTGAATTTCATTTCATTTCACTTAACAAATTGAAATCTTAAAGTCAACTCTAGCATGATTAAGCCAGCTCAAGCTGCTTATTCCAACACTATATCATTGCTGTTAGACCCTTGCTCCTGAGGAAAGAGTAATCAGCTTTAGTTCCAAATGAGCGAAAACTACGATATAAAAGACTTGACCTACTGGCATTCCAAGCACACAACATGTTCATCAACCAAGTGAGAAGAGTGAAGCGGAATCGAACGCGGATAGCTGCATGGAAGCAGCAACAGCCGCCGAAGGCGATCTGTGAGTCGGAATGGATAGACTTGATCAGACGTTATTCGATTGGCTCGCATATACATGGCTTCTATCAGCTCTTTTGGCCCTCGATGCGACGGCGCATGCGGTGAGTGTATTGAACTAGGTAAATTCTCTCATGCAACAACAACAACAACAACAACGGCTCTGTTCTGGTGCTCAGTTTGCTGTGGAGCCTGGCGCTGCTTTGTGCCCTAATCGTGCTCATCTATGTTACGTATCTGCTGGCAGAGCGGCATCAGCGCAAACAGTTTCATACGATCGTCGATGATTCGCATTGGCCCATTGTGAACATTGCCTTCCCAGCGATTCTGGTGTGCAACAAGAATCACCTGAACTGGTCCCGTTTGCCGGAGATCAGAGAGCGCTACAACATCAGCGATGCAGAGCTGCCTTTGGTGGAGAGAGCGCTAACGGCATTTGATGCCGTCACGACATCGCATCTGGATGTGTTTGAGAGTCTGCGGGGAGAGCCCCTAGAAATGCTCAATCATCTAAACTTCACACAGATCGTGATTGAGATGGCTTGGCGCTGTGATGAAATGTTCAGAGAGTGCAGCTGGCTTACGATGGAACGGGATTGCTGCGAGCTCTTTCGGCCACGACGTCTGCCCCAAGGTCCCTGCTTCGCGTTCAACGAGCTGGAGAAGCGACCGAGCGCAGAGACGGGCTTGGGAACAGGCATAAGTTTTCGATTGATGCTGAATGCGGACAGGCATGCGCCGGCCAATAGAGAGTCGAAGGGTTTTGTGGTGCGTACAGCCGAGGGCAACTAGACAGCTTTTCACGCCTTGAACCAGAACCCGATCCATAATAAATCCTATCCTATATTCGCTTAGTTGGATGTTGTGGAACCAGGTGTTTGGACCGGCTTTCCCAAGAATGTGCCCCCTTATGCGGACCTCAACATCGGCCTCAGCGCTGTCTACCATTTCTACGATAGCGGCACATATTCACTGGACAGCAATCAACGGGAGTGCCTGATGGACTACGAACAGGATAGCAAACAGTTTCTCACACTGTTGGGCTTTAAGTATATGCTGGAGAATTGCCAGGCCGAGTGCCAGCAGCACTACATGCTGAACTATTGCAACTGCACACTGGATCTGTTCTATCCGCCCTCGAATCATGTTGCCTGCAAGCTGAAGGATCTTCCCTGCCTTGCAGCTCACAATCATCTACTGCAGAATTTCGAGCAGCCCGGCGAAAAGTCCTTTGTGGCCCAAACAGAAGCTGGACTCATCTGCGATTGCCTATACAACTGCAAGTCTCTGACGCTGCTAACCGATATGCGTCAAGGTGTTTTTCTGCCCTGGAAAGCGGGCAATGGCAGCGATAAATCCTATTCAGAATCCAATAATCGTTCGATTTTCGTCAATTTCTACTATGACAAGGGCGTTATTCTGGTCTACAAAACTAGCCTCATATATAGCTGGATCGATTTGATTGGTAAACGAGCCCTAAACTAAAATTATTATGATATATATATTTTTCAATGGCCTTTACTTTCAGTTTCTTTCGGTGCGATTTTTCAACTCTGTTTAGGCTGTTCGATTATTAGTCTGCTTGAGCTTTGCTTTTTTGGGCTGTTCGATGTGCCACGTTTTTTCTGGACGCACTATAAATCAAGGCGCATTGGTAAAGATTGTTTAATAAATACGAAATAAGTGCCGGCGCTATCCTCTTGTGTATGCTATGCATTTCATTTCTGTTTATTGCAAGTAGTTCATGGTCTGGTGAATACTGTAGAGCTCTGGACTTGGCTTGACATATGCAAAGCATTTGCAGCCAAATGTCTTTTGTTCTTTCACATCATTCTCTGGGGCAAAATTTATATTTGCTGTAAGTCCTTATATATTTTATATGTGAGCTCGAGCGGAGCGTTGCTAAAGCTTTCGGCTAAAGCTTTTATTCAAGGATGTAAAGTGAAAGTTTAAAGCACATGCAAGCAGTTCAAGTTGCAAGCAGTGCTTTGAAAAGCTTAGCACTTCGTAGGAATCTGGAATATGAAACATCGAAATAAGGACATGGAAAAAAAATAGAATCCTCTGACATAGAGTCGATTGGAGAATGTCGAATGTGAAATATGGAAATCGCAAATGTAGAATAGAATGTAGAACATAAATATAGAACATAGTCATAGAACATAGTCATAGAACTTAGTCATAGAACATAGTCATAGTCATGAACATTGCTTGTATTTGATTATAGCAAAAGCATAAAACATAGCCCTAACTTAAGCAGCTCAATTTAAAAACTTGGTTTCTCTACTGTCCGCTTGACAATTATGGCGCCCCATATATAAATAAAATTATTTAAAAACAAAAAAAAAATTCTTTTTCAGATTCACAGAATTGTTTTTATGAGAAGAATAATACTTAAATTTCCATATATGATTTCATATTTTTGTAAAATAATCTATCCGTCTTCCGAGGAAAAGTGTAAATATAGTTGTAGTAAATATAGTTTTTATTATTTTATTATACCCATATATTTGTATATCCATATGCAATTCTAAGGAAACGATTAGTCCAAAAGTCTTAAAAGTATTCTGAAAAAAATGTACTTTTCGCCTTATCAATGGTTACTTCCAAAAAGTAATTCCCAAATTCTAAACAATTTATAGCACCTGATATCAGTGAGAACTGATTAGCAGCAGATATATAAGACACCCATAAGGTACCACCTGGCCAACAGTCTTTGACCTGTTATCAATCAGTAATTATCATGTATTCTTCAAAGAAACTTATTGCTTGTGCGCTAATTGTTGCCCAGTTGGTGGGCTTAATTCAGTGCGAAGTCTACGACAACACGGATAAGTGGGTCCTATCTAACAAGTCGAAGGCTTTTCCTGAAAACGCTGTCCTGGGCGGCTATGACTCATACGGCTATGAGAACTTCGTGGGACGAGTGGCTTACGCGAGCTCGATTCTGCCAGCGCGTGTTAGGGCCGAAACTGGATACGCTACATATAACACCGAATCCGTTGGTAATCAGGCCACCTCATACGAGCTGTTGGTGTCCAATGGGACGGTCAGCTATGACTGGGTGCGCAGCTTCGATGGATTCTTGGAGAGGAATGCCGTATCTGTGGGCACAAGTGCCACAAACGAGCGCGTCTACGTCTGCCGTGGCCGAACTGATGGTGGAATTTTCATTGGCACCCTGTATCTGAGCCAAAAGAAGTGCAGTATAAAGTATGAGAATTTGCCGCTAAGACAGCTGACCAAATATGAGGTACTAGTCCGCAAAGCTACGCCAGAAATATACAGAGCATTCCAGATGAAAGCAACTGATGTGGTTGATCAAGAAATGTTTTTAATTGTATCAGTAATATATTAATGATATACATATATGTATACCGATATATGTAATTTCAAGGCAAATTTAAAACAGTTTACTTTTTTTTATAACGATGACTTAAGACACATTCATTATTTTGATTCCTTTGAAAATAAATAATTAAATCAGGTGGAAATGTTGCAATCAAGATCGCTTTGAGCTCGAAATTAATCAAATAAATTAATTAAAAATGCAATATCTTTTATTTTTCTAAGGGAACAGAGCTTAAAACATTATTATTAATATCATGTCAATAGACTTTTTTATAATTTATTCAGCTATAGAGGAGCTAAATGTTAGATGTATCTGCCAAATGTTTTTATTGTGCTCCCAGTTGATTGTAGTTACCACAGCTGAATGTTGCAGTCAACAATGATCCAGTAAAACATAAAAGCGAAAACTCTTTATAAATAAATATATTTTTATAGAATTTTTCCTTATATATATCATACCTTATTTTATTGTGCTTGAAAATTTTGCTTACAATCATATAAAGCTGCTACGAACTAGACATATTAACTGAGATATTTATAGTTTTGCTGTTTAAGGGCTTTCTGTTTATTTAATTGGGGGACCACGCCTCGATATGAGTTCCTTACTATTTACTTACTGTCTACTCATTAACTAATTTTATTGGGAATTTTAAAGTTTATATAATTATATGGTTATTAAAAACAAAGTTTAGAGATTAGAATTTATGTCTAATGGCTCAAATAGTTTTCAATATATAATAGTTTATGCTATTTACGTATAAATACATAAAGTATATACATTCATATATAAATATATACAGATATATATTTATATATTTACTTGTACATGGCATATGCTGTCTACTTTGTAGTAGATTAAGAAAGCCTGCCCAAATATAGATATCCTCAACTCTCGTTTAAGTTGTTTTTTAACGGTTTATTGACTGGCCGCGGGCTGTGACTTAACTGCTGCAATGTCGTCCTAATAAGCAGCATCCGGACACCGTTACGTGGGTCTTGGGGGCTTCGGTTGTTCTATACATGAATATATACATACACACATACAGACAGACAGACATCTACCATGCAGCTACAGCTGCTCTGTGGCCGTGCGCCTTGTCGAAATTACGCTCATAAACGTGACTTGACATAATAATCTCTGACTGGAGCTGTGAGTGCGGCCGCTGGCTTTGTCTTTTGGCTTCTTCTGCCTTTGTTGCTCACGTATATACATTTATGTATATACATACATACATATTTCTTTGTATATACATATAGATTCCTTTTCAGTTTTCGTTCTTTTTTTTTTTTTTTTTTGTCAAAGGTGGCGTTAATTTTTTTGCCGCCTTTTGTTGTATTTTCTTTTAATTCTTTTTTTTTTTTTTTTTGCTTTGCTTTTGTTGTCTTTGCGGGGTCAAGCTTTCTTTAGTTTTTTGTTGTATTTTTGCGGGTGAGCAGCCGGTTGGCTAATATTGCAAAAATTTCATTAGTTTTACAAACAAGCAAACAAACAAAGCAAGAAACAAATATTTGCGCTTGCATTTTTTAGCAGTTTAGTGCCAGTTGTTGCTGTTCACTTTTTTTTTGTAATTCACGTTGTTGTTGTTGCTGTTGGCGAGTGCTACGTTTTTATCTAAAATACAAAAAAAAAAAAAAGGCACCGCCAGCTGGGATAATGGACAGGTTCAGGTGAAGCCAAGGGTCGCCAGGGAGCTAGCGTAAATAAATAAATGGCAAAGCAGAAAGTTAAAACTAATATCGAAACATCGAATCCTACATACACTTAACAAGCTGTTGCATATAAATATTTAAAAAGCAGCGTAAATATAAAATAATCTCCGACTTGTGACTTTATGTTATGTATTGTATAATATGTGATTTACGAAAAGCAAAGGATTGTCCGAAAAATATATAAATAATAAACTAAGAAATCTTTAAAATACAAATGAATTTAAGAAATGCTCAAAGTATTTTCAAGTATATCAATTAAAAAATATATTAGTTTCATTTTCATACAACTGACAATTATAAGCTTAGATTGGAAATTGTATAAATAATATTTTTTTAAATGCTTGGGTGAGAAAACTTTTGAGTAATAACAATAATGTATTAAAAATCATAACTTAGAAACAAATTCTTTCTATGCTCTAAAAGCTACAATAAGTATTGTGGAATTTAATTGTTAAACTTCATATTCAAATTTTGTATTTTTATCGTTTTTTTTTTTTCTTTCTAAACAAAAATCTAAAATCGTAAAATCGGTCAAAACTATTAAACGTGCAAGTAAAATAAGAATAAAAAAATATATTTAAAAAAAAAAAAAAAAAAATTGCTATACAAAAATCGGAAATTTTAAAATCGATCAAAAACATTAAACGCGCAAATGAAATAAAATATAAAACATAAAATTAAAAATGACTTAAAGATCTAAAATTATAAATTCGGTCAAAAATAAAGAAAGAAACAAACGGATTTTTAAATATAAAAAATAATATTAACAACAAAAATAGTAAATATTTTGAAACGAACAGCATGTCTTTGGCCTAAAGAACCCCGCGTTTTCATATACCCTCATTTAAAGCACAAGAATACAAATGGCGCGTGCGATTTTTTCAAAATTGCTTTGGCTTTTTAATTGAAAAGTGTAATGGAGCGGGAGTTAAAGTATAGTAAACTATTGTATAGTATGGAATAGTGTTGTGCATACACGCTAAATTGCTTTCATACAAACGCATAAGCTAGAACATTTTACACACACTCGTATATCATATTTGGTTGCTCGCTAATTTGGTACTTTAAAATGCATAACGTCTATCCATGTGTGCCGCATGGTTATTTTTTCTTTTATATTCATATATAATATATAATGTAT